GGGAGGCACAAAAATCAATTATCTGTATCTTTGAGAGGTTTAAGGTCCCTGGATTTTGGACTTCTTAATACTACTGATAATTTTTCAAGCAGAGCTCATCCAAGAAAAGAAAAGAAAAAACGAATTAGACGTAAAAAAATCCGCTTTCATGTTAAGGTTGGCCCAAGCTCAAATTTAGTACAAAACTGAATTAACGGTCTACAGACGCATAGCAGACTATTTTTCACAGACAGTAATAAAATCGTGAATCGTGATCTTCCAAGTCCTGATTCCCTTCTTTTTTATATTACTTAGACCTTCCGCATATCTTTAGAGTTGAGGTTAGTCGATAATGGTTGGTCAACAAGCTCAGCGCTTCTAATGCTCTCATTGTCTTAATTTCTTGGCGCTGCACCAACACACGTGACATAAAATAAATAAGAAACTTAAGAATAGATGAAAAGGCAAAAAAGTTTAAAAAAATAAAAATAAAAATACATATATATGTATAATATGTAATGAAGTTTCTTGTTTTTACTCCTACCGCCGCCAATAGTAGCTTCAGGCAGCCGTTCAATGGAATATCTGTGTTGAGTAATATACATGATTGGTACCCCAGGGACCTGACGATAAGACAAACGGTATTATTGGCAAATTATAAGTTGGAATTAATTAAATTCGACATTTTGATAGAAGAAGATTAGCTACAAATACTATCCTCAAAACCATATATATGAACACAAGGCTGTCACTCAGAATTTATAAATATCACGTCATTTTTACATACTTCAACCAACTAGAGTTTAGTTTTACTATCCTCAACTCAAGGGTGTTTCTTGTCATTACAGTTAATAGCAGAAATAATTCCAATAAAACTTAGTCTTATGTACCTTACGAATTCTTCGCTTCAAGTCACGATCACAGGTTGCAACAATGTAACACTTGTGCTGTTGCATTAGATAATGAGGACCGATTAGTTTTTGACACGAAAACCAAATCTAAACTGATATTAAAATCCAAAACAGAAAGGTAACTTGCACCCATTTTGTTTCAGTAGCCGAAGCTGAGAACGAGATGAAAAAGAGTTTTTCTTTTTCCTGCGGGATGAAATTTGTAAAGTGAGCTACATATCGATAATTCTTTACCTGTGTAACTCTATCAACAAGGCAATCATCAGCATAAGTTCCCCTGTGAGTACATGGAAGCCTCTCAAATCGAGGATCCTTTGCAATTCTGGTGATATAAGAAAGAAAAATCATAATTGGCTCCATGAGAATAAGTAACACTGCAAACCTGTACTGTTACGTAAATTATAATTCATAAAGTACAGTGCACATGAACACTGTCTAGGTAAATGACATAATTTTGAGCAGTATTTTCCAGAAAATGGGTAAACAGAATACAACAATTTAAGACGAGAATAGGAAAATTAGAAGAAAAAAAAAAAGTGTGAAAAAGAGAACTTGCCTCAAAGCAACACGGTACTTCTGACCTAACTTCTCGAGCTCAGCCATAACACAGTCTGTGATGCAAGGAGTACCTACAAATTCAGAGAGGGAGATACTAACTCTGAGGTCTGATAAGAAGGATAACACAAAACACGTGCAATTTTAGGAGAACAAAAGGACAAACTAAACTCTAATGTAGTCTGTAACAAAGAGCACACACATTACGTTTATTCAAATACTGAAAACCTTCCTATAATGGTTGAAGCTTAAAAGGCACATACGCACACATACAAGTGAATCTCAAAAAATGGCCCGGGTGGACCTAGCAATTTTATGCTTCAGTTGTTTTCACAAATAGTACAACAAACTAACATGCAGCAAACATGACGGTGAGAAGTTGTGTAAATAAATGTAACTTACATTTCGCATATAAGCAGTCCATCATCCCTTTCTCTAGATCCAACTGCAGAATATTATAGATTCAGTTAGAAAATAGACATAAAATCAAAGTTACGCGACCTAGACAAATCGTGAAAAACATAAAATACTGGAAATCTTCCTCACATATCAAGATGTGTTAGCTGGTACAAAACATAACAATGAAAGAACCAGACACACACTGAGAAAACAGAAAATCCGATATAAATTAAACGTTTGAGAATTCTCTACTTAACTGAGTAAAGATAAATGAGAGGAACAAGAAAGCAGGTGATAGAACTATTACCATTATTGAACCAAGGGATACATTATGCTAATCTACTTACATTGTCCGACAAAAAAACGCAGAAAAGAATATTAACATTGCCGAAAAAGAATAAGAATATACTGGCACACTCACTTTATTTTGGATGGAGAAATTTATGAAGTTAGTATCTACCAACACCCTGTACGGTGGCCCCAATGCAGTATTGTGCTTGAAGTAAAGTGCAGATGAAACTTGAGGCCTGCATTGACATATAACAATAATCACACCAAGAAAAAAATGGCAGCAAATAACAAATAAATGGTAAGGCAGATGCTAGGCGAGCCTAACTATTAGACAACAATATTTTTTCAACATATATCCATAATTTCGAATTAAATTGCTTACTCAAAAAATTAACATAAACAAAAAGTATGACATTCCATAACATAAGTATTAATTTTCGTTTCAAAAGTATTGAGGGGTCGACCTGATTAGGCCGTATCATACAAGAATTTGTGAATATCATAATATACAATGAAAATATAGAAATAGCAGGAAAAATACGATCTCACTCCAAATTCTTCAAAAACTGTAGAAATGAAAACATGAATTCACATCCTTAAAACACACACTTAATAATGAGAGAACATACACATTTTTGGGGAGTTTCTCCTTGCTCAAATCCTTCTTGTTAGGGTTTATGACCTCCTCTTTGTAACTGTAAAAAAGCGATTGGCAACTTATTTAGCTTGAATCCACTAAACTAACGACACATATGAATTAAGGAAGACAAGCTTACTGTTTAATAGCTTTATGGGTGACGATTTTCTTCATCACCGCAAATTTGGGGGCTTTCTTCGCTTTTCCCATCGTTCAAGTAAATCCGGAGACGTCGAAGCTTCAGAAATCAGAATTATGCTCAAATGCTAAACCCTAATTCCCAATTCGTGAACACCAAAGCTTCCGATTTTACAAAACTTCCATTTATTTATTTTGGGGAAATGTTACGCGTTTACAGAACTACTAGTGTGTACCCCGTGCGATGAACAGTAACAATATTACATTAACAATATTATAAAATATACCTCGAGTTTGAGTCACTCAATGGCGGAAGTGGAAACTATTATTGATCCTATTTAAAAAGAGGAAGAGAAAAATAATAATTACATATTAAAGTGTTGGGGTCAGACAATGTAAATTTTTTTTGTATAAGAGAATAGAAATTTTATATTATTTTGTATAATAGAATATAAAATTTGTCACCTAAAATATTATATTAGTATATGTAAAAGTATTCAAATTTTTCTATATTGTTTTTAAAAGATATGAAGTCATCTACAACTTTTCTAAACAATTTTAGAAAGAAAACATATCTACAAACATTTGAATTTAACATTATGTAAAAAAAAAAATCTAGATTATTTTGTAAAAAAAGAATGTCTACAAATAATAAAATTTAACATCAATTATGTATATGTGTATATGTGTATCTATAGACGAATATATAAAAAAAAAATGTCTAAACAATTTATTTAAAATAACTAAAATATTATAAGGCTAATTTAATACACCTTCGATCAAAATAAAGAAAAAAAAAAACAATATCTACACATTAAATCAAATGTAATGTTTCGAAATTTCTGCCTAAAAAGAGTTTAAATGAAAAGAAACAAATCAACACAATATCTATTATATTGTTAACCTAAAAAATAGAAAAAAGGGAAACATCACAAAAATCATCGCATGTATTATTTTATTAACCTAAAAAAATAGGAAA